TTACTTCTATATACTGCCTCTAAGTAGTATCTTTAACTGCAAACTTCTTGGATAGAATCTATTGGAATATTAATGCTATATTTGCTAGTAAATTATATATAGATAAACATCCCAGCCTCTTCCCCTATATACTAAGCTTCTTTTTAGCAGCTATTATTATATTTATACTACCTGCTATTATCTTATCTTTCTATTCTCTCTTTTATAAACTTATATTATTACCCTCTTATTTCTTTCTAACTAGCAATAACCTCACTCTTATATAAGTAACTACTTAATATAATTTCCCTACTAGATTATCTATCCTACTACTACCTTCTTAATATTAATAACTCTAAATAGATAGTAAATTATAAAGCTTCTATATTAAACTCTCTTTAATTATATAATTTTACTTTTAAATATTAATAATACTCCTTAATATAATATTAATTCCTATAATATTCAAGCAATCTACTAATAATCCCCTTAACTACCTATAAGCCTATCTTTATATATCTATAATTATAATTTTATTACTAGTTTATATATATAATTTATTATTATAATTTTGCTAAAAGCAGGCTTTTTTAATATTATACTCTTCTTTATATTCTTTATAGAGCTATTATTACTACTATAATCTTAAGGAGTATTATAATATTGTATCTTTTTCGCCTAATATACTGCTACTATTAAGATTTAGTAACTTAAAAGCTATTATACTACTTACTATCTTAATATAGAATACTCCAGTATTAAATAAATATTATTAAGTATATAAAATAGCCTTATTTACTACTCTTTTTCATAGCAAATAAGAGTTATTTAATACCCAATTTAATAAGAGACCTTCTATCTAGTTATTAGCTACTTATATATCTATACTATATAATAGCTGCAATTTAATTCTTTACTTATAATTACATTAATTATTTTAATTTATATAGATATATTATATCTTTTTCTTCTTCTATTACTTATACTTCCCTATATCTTTAAAGGCTACTCAATACCTAAAGGGGTACTAACAGTAATATATTTATGATATTCTTCATCTAATTAGACTGCCCCTCTAGATTTGCTTATTAGGATTAATATTATATTAAGAGCCTTAATATTAAAATACTTACCTATATCTTCTTGCCTTCCCCCTTATAGTTGCTAGCTGCAGAATATGCACTTCTATAATTAGATATCGATAACTTGCTAACATCCATCTTCTTCAGTTTCAATCTCTTAATTTACAATTAGCCTATTATTACCTCGGAATAGATTAAAGAGTAGTTCTTCATAAATAGCTGCATCTACCCCTATATACTTGCATGGGAGATTAAGCAGCAAGACAGTCTAGAATCCAATATAGGCTGCACCCTTCTCTATACTATGCCCGCCCTCATTATCCATAATGAAGGCTATTAGCTATAGGCTATAATACACTCCCCCCCCCCCCCCTATGCGCTTCCTGAACAAACTTCTGCTGATATATGTTTAAAGTGTTCTTCCTAGATTCTTTACTTCTATGAATAGCTTCCCCTATGTTCTGCCTGTTATTTTCTTTACTGGCCCTATTATCGGCCCTGGTTATTACTTGCTGCAATAGAACCTTCTCCCGGGTCTAGACGCTACCCAATTAAAGTACTGTAGCTTTATCTAGCTTTCTACTTATCTTACTTTAAAGAGCCCTAATAAGACTCTCTTTAGAGGCTTTTACCCTTTTTAGGTTTTTGTTATCTTCCCTATTTATATAAATCCCTGGGCTATTCTATATAAGAAGATAACTAAGAGGTAAGATTTCTAGTTTTAGATAAATACTTAATTTACCTGTATAGGTAAAGTTACTAGCCTTCTTAATTATTATATTATAGCCTACCTACTAGGCTTTAAATAAGACTATGTCTTTATTATTATTTCTGATTCTTGGATTTTTCTTAATAAGATTACTACTATTACTATAACTTAGCTAGTTTTATCTCTTTTTATACTACCAAAATAATAAAATTTCTTAGCTTCCTCTACTTTCCAAGATATATAAGCTACCTATTATTCTATAGCTATATCTAGCACTCTTCTATTAAGTTTTCTAACTTTATCTTTAGCTAAGCCTATTATACTACTACTAAAGTAATACTATCCTAACCCTAACCCTGCTTAGATACTAATAAAGAGGCTATATATGCTATAACTAGCTTTAAAATCTTCCTCTTTATCTAATAGTTATAGCTCTATTACTTAATCTTTTCCTACCTTAACCTTAGTATCTTCCTCTAACAAACTAAATACTATTAAATAGAGTCCTACTTTAATAAACTCTTTAATACTTACTCTTAATTTAATTATTACTTTACTATTAGATTCATCCAACTAGCTATATTAAAGCTATTAACCTACTAAAAAAATTCTAAAAAAGAAATAATAATATAAATAGTAAGTCTACTATAATATTTTTATAAGGAAAATAAACCAAGATAAAATTAGCCTATTATCTAGCTATAAGATAGAAAATACTACTTAACTCATTAATATTACAATATCTATTTTATATTAGTTATCTCTAATTTTTACTCTCTCTAAATAGTAATATACATATCTTTTTAGCTACTTTACCCATCCTTATAAATACAAATCTTCTTGTAAACCTTCTAATTAGCCTTCTAATACTCTTTCCTACAATATCCCACAACTTTATATCAGCTATATCTCTTAATCTCTTTATCTTCTTATATATTTTGCATAGCAAAATTTCTATATAAGTACTCAGCTTTTAGTATAGATCCTCTTAAGTAATTTTACATATTGTACCCTAGATTTCTTACTATATCTGTATTTTATACTCCCCTTTCCTATATATAAAACTAACCTAAATACTAACAAATAGATTTTCTACTCTATAAAGCTAAGATATAGAGCTTTATAAGATATTTATAGCAAATAACCTATAATTTTTACAAAATAAATTTAAAGTAATATAATATACTGCCTTATACTTCTTTATAAAAGGCAATACTATAGCTATAAATAAATTATTATACCGGGCATTTTACCCTATATTATAAGCCTTACTAATAAAATTACAAAAAAGGTTGTAGGTATACTTAAGCTCTTAAACCTTATTATAATAGAACTCAAACTAAATTAAATAACTAGCTATAATTTAATAAAGATTATAAGAATATAATATATCTTCTTTTTAAGAAATATTCTTAATTATTTTATAATAAAATTTTAAGAATATTTTTATTATACTTATCTAACCATTTCCTTATTTTCTCCGCCCTTTTATACTATCTTTGCTATTTATAATATAAATAAATTAAATAATTAAAATATATTCTACCTGCAAGGACTTATCTAATAGAGCCAGGTATACTAGGCTATTTACAGTTCTAAATTTATCATTTATATCTCTCTTCTAGAAGCTTTTTATAGTATTATTACATTTGCAGGGCATAGAGTTTCAAAAATGCGCCACTAGGGTACCAACATATAAGCCACTAAAGACGCCCCAATGCAACCTTGGTGAATATGCTGTAAAAGCACCATGAAAACCACCCTCTCCATTCTTCGTTCCTCAAGGCTATTTTGCGCAAACTGCGACCGGTTTGCCTCTCCTGTCAGGGATAGTATAGACTCCATCCCCAATTTTTATTGGCTTTGAAAAATGACAAGGATACTGTAGACGCCATGCCTGGCTTGTATTGGCCAACTGCAACCAGGGATTGTCGATGTTTTTGGAGCACCATTTGAGAATTGCACCTCGTTTTGCGTCTTTGATCGGGCATAAAATGCCAACATGTAATTGCAAAAAGATATTTCATTATGTATAAAATACTTTGCAGCTTTCTCTATCAAATGATGTAGTTTTCAGTTTGAGAAGAGCTGTGGTGGACTTTTCGCGTAATTAAACATGTGATTTCCAATGCTCTTAAAATTTCGCTAAGTTTCTCACGACACACATTAACCCACGCCGCACTCACACCACTGATGACTCCGACTGGCCAGTCGTTGGGTTGGGATTGGTTGGCAGGGCTGTGTCAGCCCGGGATTACTGGAAGTCCCTGGGGTTCTTCTGATGGCCAACGGATAAGCTTGCTCCTACGAGAGAGTTAGTAAACAGCGAGTGCCTATGATGGGTTTCTTCACGATCTCAGTAAGAGGAGTAGGAAACAACGGGTCAATAGTAGAGTTATAGTGTGAACGGCCTCTAGTAGCTGGATTCCAGCTACCTAGTCCAGGATGCTATTTACATCAAAGATGAAGAAGAAAGAAAGAAGTTCCTAAGCGCTCCTGAGCTGTGGAACGATTTCTCACCCCTGGCGCGCACGAGCCTAGTACGTCTTGCGGCACAGCCGCAAGGATATGGGCCCTGGCCCGTGACATATGGTCATAATGTCGATGATATTGCCGCACTATAATGTAGATATCTGCGCTATAGCGGGTCGCTCAACTGATCATATCTACAAATAAGATGTTGAGTGAACCTGGCTAAATTCTAATTGGCTGCATCATGTTTCTGTGGCAATGAAGGAAGCTTAGTTATATTCTAAGTATATGGCTATTGCCTTAACGAAAACGAAAAGGTAGAAGGACGCTGTATTTATATACGTTTTGATATCCACGGGCGGAGGATAGGAAAAAGGGTTGGTCTCTCTACACAATCTTGGTGGTAGCCAGCCCTGCGCGGGGCTGGTGTGGACTGCTGTTCAAGGTCTATTGAATCATCGAACAGCAAAGCGGGACGTGCTACGTGATTGGATGTCCGTTCACATGTGGTTCTAGGAGCTCCATGAGGTTCCTCCCGACCACAGCTTCTACAGCAGGCGGACTGGTGGCCGATGCCTTCGCTGGTGACCTGGGAGAGAGTACTGACAACAACTCCGCTACTCAAGAAAACAGAGGCCCGGCCTTGTGAAAGACAGAGTGTGTCCGGAGGATAAGAGAAGGAACATTATAAAGACAGCTGAAACACTCCCAACCTCAAAGCCTGAAAGAACAGATAAAGAGATCAATCAGATCAAATGGTTCGCATCAAAAATGGCTACAAAATCGAACCCTCAATCTATCAAATTCTCCTGTAAAGGTAGTGTTATTGTTCTTGTCCCGACGAAACTCGTCGGTGTTGAGACCCTCTTTTAAACCTCAGACCAGTATGACCCAATTGTTGAAAACGGGCCCCGCCAATGAAAACACAGAAACGACAGCACCTTATCCGGACCTCCCTGTCAGCCTGCCCCCGACACAATACCATATGCCAAGTTGGCGTATTGTTTACCTCCAATCAATTTCAGGTTCCCCAAAGTCTTGATTCATAATGTAGAATACACGGTCTGGAGGGCTGAGATAACCTTCAGCCACTCTCTTTGCTAATAAAATTCAAGACAAAGATCTAAGTATTCGTAAATTACGAGAGAGCATTGGCAATAGCATAGTATGCAGCCTTGGGCTGGTAGCTGTTGTCGAAGAGAAGCGGGTTTGCGCCAGTCCTCCAGGAGTCCTACGAAAAGGTGAGCCATGATTTCTAATATAGACAAACAGGGAAGACAAGAACTTACAGCGTCTCGCACACCCCAAACGGTGATACCAACGCACTTCGGCACATTAAGACAAGCCTTGGTAACAGCAACATAATCCGCAGAGGGAGCGTTAGCGATATCGAGCTCAGTGACAGCAACCTCAGAGACGCCAGAGCTAGCGAGGGCCTGAAGAGCAGCTTGGGTGCCACTAGAACCGCCGGCGCTAAGGTGGCTCTGGGAGCCAATGCCGTCGATGGGAACACCAGCCGCGATCCATTTCTTGACCTTAGGGACGATGCCGTTGGCGACCTTGCCGTAGGTTGCGCTGTCAAGGTTGTAATCATTGATGTACAATTTCGCATTCGGATCAGCGGCACGGGCAGCCTTGAAGGCGATGGAGACAAACTCTTCGCCCAAGACCCTGGAAAAGACTGAGTCACGCAGGCTGCCGTCCTCAGCGAAGATCTCATTCACAACATCCTTTGAATCGATTAGCTCAATTGGGTCATAGAGAAACTCAGACGATGTCATTCTATACCCATGCATAGATTTTGCCCTTGAAGTGCTTAACTACAGTAGTAATGTGGTTTTCAATGACTGATTTAAGCTCAGCGGTATTTGTAATGCTCATGACCCAGCTCGGGAGTTGGGAGTGCCAGAGAAGTGTATGTCCTCGCATAAGTATGCCGTTGCTTTGGGCAAAGTTGACTACAGTATCGGCATTGGTAAATGTAAACTGGCCTCGAGTTCCCTCGGTAGCATCCCACTTCATGCTGTTCTCGCAGGTGAGCTGACCAAAGGAGCCTTTGATCACCGCAGCATTCTGCGAATTGCTGAGAAGGGTAGGGTCCGTGATGGTGCCGTAATACGTCTTGCCCTTGGCCACGAAAAGGTCGTCAATGCTGGCGATGGCACGTTCATCGATAACCGGAACCGCTGCGACCAGCGAGGCGACGAGGAAGAAGAATGGCTTCATGGTAAAATGATTTAGGTAAAAAGTGAAAGAATGTTGTAGCAGCGGGTTGAGAAAGAAACTGACAGACAAGTGATTGAAATGAGGAAAAGATGCTCGATGCAAGTCAACTATTTAACTGCGAACAGATGGATAAACAAATAGTCCCCTGGAGTACTATATGGAGTATAATACCTAGGAAATTTTGTTTTAATACGGTGGAGAAATTCGATTGACTGGACGGGATTCAACAATACCTGTTGGAGGGACCCACAAGAGGTCCTTCGGCACGCTGCGACCCACACCTGATTTACCCATAAGGTCAGGAGACGTAGCAGTACATAAGGGTGACTTGCGTCCTACCTGCGGCTAGACCTTTCGTAGGATTCAGTTTAGTCACTCAATTTGTCCTATGACCTGCAGTGACATAGTTCTCCGCTAATACCATATTGTCGCAATTTAGCCGGAGAGCAATCCACTACATCCGTCGATCTTGAAAACGACAACCACTTCATGTTTCCCATAAGTGGTCTAACCATTACCGAAATAGGTAGGCTGTTCTTCGGAAGTTGTGTGTTTCACCTCTTGGCACTCTTACAGGGGATGCCACCAGTGAACCGTCCCATGTGTGCAGGGGTGCCGGCAAATCGAACCGAGGATAATCTTTGTTTTTGTGGCATGAACCGACGAATCAGCTATTTGTATACAATGGAGCAACTTTTGCAATGAATTTTCGAAGAGAAACAGTATCTGGTCAACGAATTTTGGTCATATCGTAGACTATTGCCACGATTTGCATTTCGATGCAAGCACCCAGCACGACAATTTCCGAGTTTTAGACTTGAATAGGGGATGGAAAATTCATCCATTTAGCCTGCCGTTGCACAATTCGTTCACATAGAGTATTTAGCCTTAACAGTTCGCCCCCATTCTCCCTTGCCTACATTTGTAATTATGGGGCCATTCCCGGTACGCTATGGGCGCAGGGATCGACTGTTCTATATGCATCCCTTGGCCCATTCCACCCGATTCTGAAACTTGGGTCGTATACATGATGCACCAACCCGGATAAATGGTAATAATTTAACCAGCTATTCGGGCCTCCCTCAAGGATGGCAGAAAAGGGTGATTGAGCGGAAGGTCCGACTCCATGTAGATGAAAATCTTATTCCGAAACACATAATCGATTCCTTCGTGAACCATTGTATTTCCACCAATAAACCCTCCTTTAGTTTCGTAATGTTGATCGCAAACCATTTTCGATAAATCAATGTATACTAGCGGCTTAGAAGAGTCAAGATGAGGAACCAGCAACCTTTCTTCGTCATTCAGTTTCAACATGTTTTCGCTTATCGTGCAGCTTGCACTCACCGTCGGCACTGTTGCTGCACGCGACCTTGTACCGGGCCACGAACCCGAGGAACTCTCCTCCAACGTTGTCAGCCGGACAACTAGTCTCCCCAGCAGCTTCAAATGGAGTTCAACCGATGCTCTACTTGGGCCTAAGAGTGACGGTCACAACCTTGCGGGAGATCCTACCATTGTTCAGGTCGACGAACTTACTTTTCTCTTTCATCAGTTCATACTAGTTTATCCTATCAACTCATTTCTTGATCCTCACTTTCCCCACCTGATCGGTGCAATGAATTGCATCGTGAGCATGTGTTCGTTCTTAGGTTAATCGAGTGAAGTAGAAAACTGGTTACATGTTTGGGAAATACTGAGCGACGAATTGCCTGACTCGGTGAAGCCAAGCATCGCCTGCCACATGATCACCACTTGAAAACCCGCCATGTGCTTTGAGGTAGTAGTAAAAAAGTTGGAGATCTGCCCATGCCGGATTCTCTTGATTCGGGGCACTCTGGAGCCACGCGAGCATGATGTCCGTCTTGCGCCCTGCTTCTTCAAAGTCACCACTGACTATCAACCTGTCAGCAAACCTGCCGAGATAGGAAACACTGGCTGAATCCATAGAAGCCACGTCCATTTCCGGGAACGAGTCTTTTGCCATTTCCCTCCTGATTCCCATGTAGTCCAACAACACGATATAGTGACAGCTGAGCCTTTCAATCATGCGGTCTCTAACACGAAGACGTTTGAAATCGTCCACAGCCGCCTCTAGGATTATGGCGATGAACTCATTTCGGTCTTTGTGTAACAGACGAACAAGCCGACGGAGTAGCCAAACCAGTGGATGGCCTTCCCCAAAGACAACCAACAGTGTGTCATGTGTGTGTCGGAGTAATTCGAATGTCAGGGCTTCGTGTCGCTGGTCAAAAGCGGACACGAAATCGGATAGATAGAAGATAAGAGTGGGATGTTGTTCCTCCACTATAGACTTAAGGTCATCAAGCGACTTGTTGAGAGCTTGAAAGCCGGGCTTCATCATGTTAACCATGATCATGGTACGAGCTTGATCCAGTCTCCTGTAGCATCGAACAGTGACGGAACAGTCGACAACTTGATCAACGTGAGTTCTTCTTGCAGTTCCGTGGTAGCATGAGCGATAGTAGCCGTGGAGCAGTCGAAGTAGCTCGTCCGTGTATTGAAGAACACTGGAAACATGCAGAACAGGCTCTGGCGATGGTGAGCGACAGTCGATATCAAAGTTGGAGCTACCCATCTTGAGCATGCCCGCTTTGATCTTCGTCTCGAGGTCTGGTCTGCGGCGTAGATACTTTTCGACCTGTTCCCAGTCGACTTGTCTACCTCGCACAAAGAAGATGGACTGTTTTCCGGCAACACTTCGTTGTTGTTTAAGTAGAGACATCTGGATGACTTCTTTCTCTTTGTATTTCTTATCCAAGCTCCATTTTTTAAAGCGATGCTTATACATCCTTGGTCTATTCATAGTTTAGCATCCGTGTGCCTTGCATGTTGAGACCATGTCTGAGTGACTACTCACGTTGCATGGAAATCATGTCTCAGCCGCATTGTCTCTACCACCTCTTTAAGCGGCCTCGCGTCATCTGAGTAGAGCCTCGTGATATGGGGCCGCATACGAGCCCACTCTTGATCCGTGTATGCACTGGTAGACATGGTCTGGTACTGGCTGCGGTGTTGAACTTGGGCGGGGAACGAGTGAGCAACAGTCTATGCCGGCAAACCAGGGATCTGGTCCCCAGGAGATCAGGGCCAATTAACCGGCTCGTTGTAAGGAAGAAGAAAGTGGCTCAAGACGTTGACACGGGAAGTGTTTAGAAGACCTCGAGTCGAGGATTGGTGAAGAACAAAAGGACAGCCCCCTATATGGACCCTGGTTCGCAGTGGTACTTGCCGATACTCTTAGCGGCTTACTGTACTCATTGTGATTGGTTGAGAACAAAAGAACAAGACTGTGGATTCGTTTCAGGGGCTGCTCGGCGAGTTACTAGGATTCAATAAGCGATGACATGGATCATCTGCGGGGCAAAATGCAGCCATCATGCCAATTCTGGGATATTGCATCTCGGATATTTTAGGGATATGCGGGACTGATACAAAAAGCCCGAGGATCCGATGCAAGCGAGTGATCAAGACGAAATCCTTGACATTTCAACAGAAACTTTAAAAATGAGCTTCCTAGCCCTAGGGTGTGAAACTCCCCGCTTACCTCTTCGTACTCCTACCGTAACCATTTAATTTCGTCCTCCAAGATACCAATTGTCCGTGTAGGCCCGATTACGGTCCGAAAAGGTGAGTCAATTTCCGATTTCTCTTATTACTTTTGTTATTCAAAACAATGACGTTTGTGACAAAATTCATCACAAACGGGCCCGTGCGTACCTTTATCCCCAAATTCTTCGTACTTTTTGTCAACTACATACGCCTCGGATTGAACTGGTTGGATCACGAGGTTGGCCCATCGAATTGGCCAACCGGTTAAACTCGTCGGTGGAATAGACATGGTCCTATGTGACGACTTTCTGGCATTTTGTTGGGTCGGCGGCTGTGCAACTTGTAAGGTTCCACTTAATAACGTGATACTGCATATAGATCACTGCCCAGACTGCTCTCTTAGTGCTTAGTGCTTTGCCGTCATGGGCCAGAAGTAGCCTCCGCAACTGCATAGTAGCGTTACTTAGAAGCCTACGTCAATGGGGTTTCCAGGCAATTTTACAACGCGTGCCGACGACTAAACCGGATTTCCTATCGGCGCCAGCGAACGTCAGGCCAAGGTGTTGGGAGCTGGCGCCCGCAGAGTGAGCCTGTTCGTTGCAACAAGTAGGGTTAACGCATGGACAACGTGATTGGGTTGTTTGCCCACGGCAAATCCCGCCTGCTACCCCACTAACTTTAAGTTTGTACGACTCAGGCTGCTGGTTCGCCGGGGCGGCACACAGCCTAGTACCATCGATATCATTGTCAACAGCCTTCAAACGGCGGACACAAACAGGAAAGTTCCGATGAAGCAGTGGCTCGGGCAAAAGCAGGTGGCGCAGCCCACCATCATGACTCAGGAATGACGCCGTATCAGGGGTGGGAAGCTTCAATCTAGCAAGCTCGGATGCTGGTGCCAGATGGGCGGTAGTTGTGACAAGCCGTATATGAACGGCAACCAAATATGTTGTAAGGGACAAAGTAGCTAGGGAAGTGCGGAAGTGCTTGAGTCCAGATCGGAACTGTCTGTATATGATTAACGGACGAATCTTGACATTTTCCAGCCTGCGTCGCTCTCACCCCTTCTATATGTCCCCAAATAGTCATGCAGCAAACCAGGCTCAACTAACATGTCAAATATCCCTTCGTTAAAGGGAGAAGTCGGGTATACATCAAGCCGTCACGTTATTATTTCTTCCAATACGAGATTTGATGTATTTTGTTGCATCTAGCAGATGGAAATGATCATATGTGTGAGAAGCTCTTGATTTCTTCCTATCTAATGAGGGTTTTTGGGTCAGTCTTATAGACGAAGAAAACGATGATGACCTCAGATGACCTCAGACAGCCGAGACGCTCCGGATGCCTCGGGGTCTTTGGCTTTATCTAGTTATTGACCCGAATGAAGGAAAAACTAGGCCGCTGACGAGGCAGGTGGCGATGGACGCCTATGATGATGAAGGAAAAGCTTCACTTCCGCAATAGCCGTTGAAATCCGATATCCCGATATGTGACATATTTGCATGAATGTGAAATCCGAAGGTATGCCAGCATTCAGGTTTCCGTTGGCAGAGATCGACCTGAACTCCTGAATTGAGCCACTTCGGTCATGGCATTGAGTTGTCTCGCTGAGCCAGAGGTTCTTGCAAACTGGCTCACTGAACCAGGCCATTGCCTCCATCAGTTGTCCTTAACACTTCCTCTTCCTCTGTTATTTGTTCTATATACTATGCCCAACCTTGTGCATCGATACACCTCTGAGATCTAGCTGCCTGTTAAGGATGTGCTTGAGTGCTGGAACAATCTCCTCCGGCGACTGTGTTGGCTTCTCTGCTTAGTTGTAGCTCGGTCTTACTTTCCCAGTATATTAATTTTAATCGAGGGTTTGATGCAGCTGCGATACCTTATAAAGGCATAATATATCCTATAGCAGCTAAGATACCCTTGTGATGGTATACAGCAGACTTTGCCAGATTCCTCCACTATGATATGCCGAGGCACTTAGCAAAGTCTAGAAGGTTCTGCCGGGACATGACGTAACTTACGGCCCACTGCACTAAGCAAAGCGGGCCTGTAGCACTGGTTACCCTCCTTTACCGCGAGCCTTTGTAGTGGTGGCGTTCCGTCCCTAATCCGCAAAGGTAAATCGACTAGTGCAACGGACGCAACGACAGTCTAGGGCAGGTTTCCATGACAAGGGGCTGGTGCTGATGGAGGTGAACCCTTAAACAGCTCTGCCCTACGATTGGTTTTACTTCTGTTGATGCTTTCCATTAACCTTCAGCCCATTTCTAGTGCATTGACTTCCAGGGGTTGTTATTAGTGTCAAGATAAAAGTTCTTATTTCTCTCAGCTGCCCGTATTTCATATTTCTCGAGATCATCATCGCTCACTCCTCAAGACGTCTTCCATCTGCCCTTCAACATGGGCTATGTGGACGACTCCTCGGTCGATGGCCCCATCGCTCCTGCAATGGTATCCTTCATCGCCCTATACAACGTCATTGAGCTCAATGTCATCATATTTTTCATATTTAAGCGGAAAAGCGGTCTTTACTTCTGGAGCTTCTTCTTTGCTACCTAGGGCATATTTTTCCATACTATCTTACAACCAAAGCTTGGGATTCAGAGGATCCCGGGTGAGAGGGGGGCTGACATAAATATTCAGTTGCTTTCTCCATTTTCTATCGGACAAGACGATTAACGTAATTTGTCAATCAAGTGGTCCTGTTGCCGTTGTTCTTTTCCGGGGGGAAGCCCCACTTTACCGGGTCAACGTTGTAGCGGTCCGGCAGGGTCTTATCTTATCAAAGGTGTGGAGATGATGACAGGGGTTTGGTAACATAAACTGATCCTGATTGGCTCGCGGAGAATTGACAGGGATACCGTCCGTCCCACGGCCTGACAGGGATAGACTTAGACTTATCCTGTACATCCATGTTGTTGACTTGAATGAAGCATAAAAAGCTTGTTGAAGACATTAAAATATTTAATTTAATTTCATCAAATCAAATAGACTTTTCTCCATCGATGCATATACTTTTTATTTCGCGTATCGTTGTGGCTGATTTTTGGTTGATTTCATTGTGTTATTTTATCCTTTCGCGACACACGTCCCAACCCGCAACCCGAAGCCCAACTTTGATCCCACATTGCAAGTGTTATCGGCTGGCTGCTCGCGGCGGCTGTCATCAATACAGATGAAGCTATTGTCATCATACGCATTGACTGCCTGGCTAGAGAGCTGTTGGGAATCCATGAGAATGCACAGAATGAGTTGTATGGTGAATTGGGCGGGGTTGATTTCGCTGGTGCTTGGAGTCACTCCATGTACCTCGGCCTTGGCGGGGGTCATATGGGGCGCGGTATGTAAGTTAGGTGTTGCCTTACGACGCTCAAAGGGATAGTGTCACACGGGTCATTATGAGAGTCAACCGAGCCTAGCCGAGGGTGATAGTCAAGAACAGCTTCAACCCCACTTGATCAACCTGATCAACTAGGAATTCCAAGGAAGCCTAGAAAATGACGATATCAACGATGAAAAAGCTGACGAAGCTTGCCACAGCTGACAAATGCATATATTTAACAGAGCCCTCAGAGGAGCTATCCAACATAGCCCTGAAAGGCATAAAGAGCCTGCCTTTGAACCCTTAGATAGCAAGAAATCAAGAGCTTTCCCCTATGACTTCCTTTGCAACCTGCTAGTGAATGTGACATATAGCTGCTCACTTCGCCGCGCTCGTGTGTAGCGCCCGTTTCAGCCTGCTCTCCAGCGGCTGATACGGCTCGTTCGCCTCTTCTCGCGCCATATCGTTGATCCAGCGCTCATTTGGCTGAATAATTCTTCCTTTGGACAATTCAGACGCCAGGTACAGCCACGAGAGCAAGTTACCTACTGTGCTCACTTCGTCGCTGACGTTCGTGGACGCATACTCGCTCATACGATCGTAGAGCTTTTGGTCAGTCCAGAGTTGGAACAGATGCTCAGCTACAGCATCTGTATCGCTCACATCCACGAGGAACCCGTTCTTGCCGTGCTGGATCTGCAGTGGGATTCCACCGGCCAGCGTCGCAATCACGGGTTTGCCCTTATGCAGAGCCTCCGACACCTTGACCTCAAAACCCTCACGGGTTGAGAGCTGCAAGGCAATTTTCGCCTTGGACAGTAGTGCGTTGAGCATCTGATCACTGGGACCGATGCGCATGATGCAGATGAAGTGCTTGAGGTGCTTGAGATGCTGGTCGACATACTCAAGGGCGGTGTCGTAGACAATGGTGCCGTCTGGGTCATCAACTGACCCGTGTCCGCAGATGAGCAGTTTGGGAGGTCTCTTGTCGGGAAGGGAATGACAGAGGAGCTTGTGGAACTTTTCGTATGAGACGAGCACGTCACATATTCCTTTGGAAGGGTCAAACCGCGCAATGTGGGCGATGTATTCCTCTAGGGTTGAGTGAAAGGTTAGAGCGACTTATAAAAGGCATTAAGATTAGAATCTCAGACGTCCTTACCTTCTGGGAACTGAATTGTGGGCATATACTGCTCTCGACATTGGGAATTGAAGATTCGCCCATAGTAGGAGATACTCCAGTCACTCATAGGTTTGTTCAATCCATCTAACCTAATAATCGGTAAGTTGGGAATCATAAAAGTGCTCAGGGTGCATCTCACCAGTCAGTTGACGCAGGCATATATCCAACCGTCGATGTAGGCACGTTCTTTGGCACAAACGCACGCACAGGGTGGCTGATGAAGACATCCGCTTGCTTGATGGACTCCCACAAAAGTTCCCAAGCCTCAGCCTGTGGAGTGCCCGGCGTGGCGACGAGATCGCTTCTAATCTGGATATGACTTCGGTAAATAACCGGTCTGTCCGGCGTATGCTTTTTTATCAGAGGGATCAAGAATGGCAACTGCGGGTCATCTATGATGATTACGTCGGCGCCACCCTCGACAGGATGAACCAAGGGACCATTTTTCTGGAACCAGGGGAATACTGGCAAGTGAGGAAGTGACGGGGCATACTTTTCCAACCACTCAGGAGCTGGCGGTCCGGCTCGCTTGAGCCAGAAGCGGTCTGCATTCTCATGGACCCAATCGCGGACAATATCCCTTTCTTCTGGTGTGAAACGCGTGCCCGGGGGGGCTACACCTTGGAGTATATTGTGGTTGTTCTTGGTGATGCGGAAGACGCCAGGCCTGGGTTTCGGGACATACCTGCACAGTAATGAAATCAACAGTGCATGGCATAATATAAGCTCGCTGCAAACGAGCGAACCTGGAGGCGAATTTACCATTCCAAATCCACTCCGAGTACCTTTGCAAACCGGACAAGGGCATGGCGCATCAAGGCAACACCGCCACCCTGCGGGGTCGCACTGAAGAAGGCTATCTTCACTCGCTGTTTCTTGAGGTCATTGGCAAACTTGTTGACTGCGGACCAGGTTGCCGGCCCCACCGTCTTCTCGTAGTCCAAGAGTCTCGTCAACTTGACATGGAACGCAGCGTCAACTTCAACAACGCCTTTGCTGCCAATCTCTAGGACCGGGGCTTGGCTGGGACCAAAGAATCTACAGCCAGTAAGAAAAGAGCAGTTACTAAATTTCAGAAGCCGAGGGATGCTACTACTTGCCTTATACACTTCCTTGCCATCGACTCAGCCTGTTCGTCCAGCGATTTGAATGGCAATGTCTCATCGTTTGAACCCCAACTACTCTTCTCCTCCACCTTCCGAAGTACAATGGGTATGATGTCCAGCTCAAGCCAAAGGCGAGCACACAAATCAGGACACCGTTCAGCCAAGTCAGCCGACATGGCCAAGCCGATGAACTTCTCGGCATGGTCTTGTTGATATTCTCTCGCTGTCACGATGATATGATCCGTGATCGCGGGCCAATCTGGACGCAGGTTGCCGGAGGAGATATCATGCTGCGCGTAGTCTAGCATGTATGAGCTATCACGAACAGCGACAGCGAGTGTGACTCCCCTATTGGCGAAGTGGTAATTAACAGCAATGCCGGCGTATATGGCCTGTTAGAGTAAGTCAGAGCGATGCTCGTCCTAATTTGTGGTTTCAACAGTGCCAATGGGACAGCGACATACGTGGAATGGTGGCCCGTCCCAGGTGTACTTTCCCAGGTCGCTCTTCAGCTGGCGTATCTGGTATGCAGACGGCCGCCGCTGGAAGTCTTCGCGATTGACAGGAGGAGCTGCGACCGCTGTCTGGTCGTTCACGCTCTGATCACTGGGGTCCATGCTTGAATGATGTAGCGGGCGATAACTCTTAGGTGCATAACAAAGGTCGTTTTCACGGTACGTATACTCATAGAGGGTTGGACTTTGTCAAGATATAGTAAAATATCCGGCAATTTTCTCTTCCAATCTTCCAATTATTGACTTTCTCATCTTACCATATGATTGGCTTAACCTCTTTCGTGGCAAAATTGATGATAACTATGATGTAAGCCTGAATAGTGAACTGACGCCTCTGCAGTAGCATATGATGGGAGCCAAGGTCTCCCAGAAGTTGAAGCTTTAATGGCGAACAAACGTCCTCAACAGTCAACCTGGGGATTGGGGCGCGAGGGAACCCTCAGTGAACATGTGAATGCCATTGGCGCCACATCTACGGAGTAGTGGCATGACAGGCAGGTGACACGATAGTGGCGTAATATAGCAGTGGGGTGACATAGCAGTGGGGTGATATGGCAGGGGGTGACATAGCAGTGGGGTGACATGGCAGGAGGTGATATCACAGTTGCTCATCCTCCCTTGTTAAAATACTGTCAGATTGCGTATATGAATATAGATGCACATGCAGTTACCACTTATAGTGGTGCACTACGTTTTTGGCCTGACGGTGTAATCTAACAAATACTATAATGCCATTCCACCTTGGTTGCAAGGTAAAATGTGTAGGGTAAGTGAAGCTGATATCCCCACCCACGGGCAGCAATTTTCAGAGCTTGCGTCACAACATTAGTGACTGCTGTTTGTTTCCTTGCCAGCCTTCAGAAGCGCGAGGCCAGCTTTTGTTCTATTGCCCCTTATATCTACGGCCAAAAAACATAGCATACGGTGGCTGACTGATTTCAATCTCCGCTGCATTCGAGCTGAATGCTGCTCCTTGATGAAATGGGCTGGGGAAGTATGCACACCAACAACCGCTCTTCAAAGTTTAGACATTACGACATCAACTCTAAATGAGCAACCACACAAATTAGTAGAGGCCACGATTGTGTACTCCATGATGGATGGGTGGTGTATCTAACGCCTGAGCGCTACCATAGCTGAGCAAGAGAAAAGAGACGCTAAAGAGTATATTCAAGCAAGAGGGATGTGATCGTGGGAATCCTAATGGTCACGCACATACGGAAGGCCATATCAAAAGTCTTTGCCTACGCTAAAAACACTACTAGGGGGGTCTCGACATTTCACTACAGCTCAACCCCCCCGTTTGTCTCTGACAGGGGGGGTACGTCGACTAGCCAATTTCAGATACATTGATTTATACCAAAAGTTCGGTGTGAGCAATGTATTTTAATATCGGATAAATGGAAATTTTTAAAAATTTGGAGAAGGTGATGGATCCGTTACGGTCAATTCGATCTATCAAATAGGGATTAATGCAGTGATGATGATGTTGATTGTTGCTTGATCTGGTCATCCGGATCGGCCGGAAGAGGGGTTATCATACCCCCCTTCTGACTAAGGTCAGGATATCAATCTATCAGAGGTTTCGTAATACAGGGTCTCAATCCAACATATAGCTATAGCAGTCACACGCCATGTACACGCCCAGCTACCCAAATACACATCGTGACAATAGCGACACAGCCGCTTTAGCTAGCTGTTGGATTGACCCCTCGTGTGGTGACATCAGACCCGAATTTACGGATACATAAACCTCTGATACACCGATATCCTAGCCTGAGTTAGATAACTAGAAAACCTCTCTTGAGAAAAGAGGGAGCCGGAGGCATCCCTGATTAATACAATGATTATCTTTAAGCTCTATATTATAGTAATTTCCATTAGCTTAATTAGTAATTATCTTAGTTTCTTAGTAATTGCGTTTATAACTGGAGAGAAAAAGTAGGCATGTCATAGTTCTGCTAGTTGTAACTGCCTGGTCCCAACCTAGACTGTGACATCCAGGCTTAGCTTGTAATAATTATAGCTGCTTAATTCTAACTTAAGCTATAATAACTAGGATCCTCTAAGAGCTCAGAATTAATAGGCTTATTATTAGCTAGTTAAAGCTATAATTACTAATTAAGAAACATCTAAGCAGCTGTTATTAGACCACTATTATTAAGGTAATTTCTAGGATAGAAAAGGGCCTTGTAACGGTCTCAAGGTAGTGTATTGCAACTAGCTAGGCCACTCTACAGAGTATACTAAACTTAAGGAAAGAAGAAGAAGAGAAAGAGAGTAGAGGAGGTCTATCCATAAATATACTCGTCATGGTGGCTTAAAGGTAAAAGTGGGCCACGAAAGGCTGAGGGTTCCCGAGGCCACCTACGGGCACAGCCCGTTACAGCCTTAACCCATTAGTTATCTTTAAAGGCAAAAACTTATAACAGCAGTAGTTTTCTAAGGAAATGGACTTTCTAACCAGTTAGGCATTAACATCATCTTCTAAAGGCTAGACCTCTGATCTAATTGGACTTGAATAGCCAAAAGAGGTCTTTATTCCAGGCTTAAAGACGGAAAACTTCAATGAAAAGCGGCTTCTTATTCTTAATAGCCACCGGTCACACGCAACGCCTGATTTTATGCGTGTTTATATTAAAAACAAGATCCAATTAGTCTATTTACTACCATATACAAGCCATGTTCTTCAGCCTCTTGATATATCAGTCTTTGGGCCACTTAAGGCTGCATACCGAGCTGCGCTAACCCTAGCCAATCCCCTCATTAAGACCAGCCCCACAAGGAAAGAAGTCTTCCCAAAGTGCTATTTTGAGGCAAGGATTACCGCCTTAACAGTAGCTAATGCAAAAGCTGGCTAGAAGGGGTCAGGATTGTGGCCATTTAACGTCAACAAGCCACTGGACAGCTGATTCGTCATTGACGACCCTGGCCAGACTATTACAGTTGAAACAGGCAATCTCACATCACCAAAGACGAATCAAAGGTCTAGAAACATTGAATTTGCAACTCCTAGTCGGGATAAGCGCGCCATCCAGAGGGTGAGAATGAGATTTGATTGCGGAGGTGAAGTCGATTAACAGAAATAAAACCTCGCAAACGCCACTCTGAAAGACGGTATGTTTTTATCTCTAATGAAGCATCTTTTCTATGCCGCGAGAATTGTTATTATCACCGTCTTTCTCAGTGTTATCAGCTTTAAGTTGAGTGATATCGGATTCTCTTTCTTTGTTTTTCGGTCGAGTACGATAAAAAATCTCATCTAAAAAAAACGGGTTTTTTTCTAAGATTTATTCCTCCTCTTAGAATTTAGACTCGGGTTACATCTGCGGAAGACGCATTCGGTGGCGAATCCTCCCTCCATCATCGCAGTTTCACTAAGCTTGAAAAGATAAAATGAGACGATGTCATTTCTCCTCTAACAAGCTATTAGCAATAGCATTAATATCTCATTCAAATATCCATATGGCAGAGCTAGCTCTATCATCGCTGTCGTCTGGCCCTAATAATAGCTTCGTCGGTTGCGTCAGAGGAGCCTTCATCCCCCTTATTAACGCCAATCCTCAATTGGGAATGTGGCAAGCTGCCGGCACCGCCATCGCCCAAGCTCCCAATCTCACCGAACTTCGTGATGCCGAGTCTGGCGGTGAAAACATCGCCTTCAACGCGCAGGGTCATTCTGTTCGTTTTGCCGTACGCGATCCGGACGGCGAATTAACGCTGGTCCGGTCCAACACCCGTCGGCCGACATTGACGACGCCTAATTTTGATTCTACGCCAGGCGAGGAGCCCGTCCTCTTCGCCGATGTGGATGAATCCACCCGGGAAGTTGCTGCGTCGTCGAGTGAGCATCATCCGCATTCCCATTGGAATCTGCGCGAGGAGCATCGCCATCTGCGACAGCGGTGTCGCAGCTTTTATGAGAAACACAAGGGTGACGTCAAGGAAAAATGGGGTCCAACCATTCTCAACGGCCTGAAAGCTTTTTGGAAGTTTTTTTAAGACGCCGGCTGGATTTGTTATTACTCTCTATTGTTTGAACATTGTTGTATGCCATCTCTATCAATATTATCAAGTGCACCTTACTAACGTGACTATAGGCATGGGGTGTAAGTTACCAGTATCTCACACCGAATGGTCCCCAGTCTTTCATCATGATCCACGCCAACATCATAGAATTATCTAATCCAAGCATATTCTAACCTGTGCCTAGGCAATGCTATTCTTCCTACTCCTCAAAGCTGCTCCGGCCATGAACCATCCCAGCGCAGATGACGACAATTCGCCCGGCAAGAAATGGCTCGAAATCGACAGCCAGATCCTCAATGCCTTATTCTGCGTAACAGCCTTCGGCCTAGCACCTTGGCGCTTCCGTGATCTTTACCTCTTCTTTCGCGCTGTTCATTGCAAGGATCGCCCGGCCATGCTGAAACTTGCCGATCAGAACAAGTCCTGGTTCCGCCCACCAGCTTGGGCAACTGAGGATTCGACTGAAGCGTCGGAGACGACGAGTGCTGGTATCGTCCGCTCCGCCACATTCACTGGGGAGACTGCCCCTCCAACGCCCGTCTGGGAACTGGGCTTTCCTATCTGGATGATGGTTTGAACACCTTTCTCCAGGTCGCCCTTTATTACTTCATATGCAGCTACAATCGATTTAACAGACCTGTGAGTTACTGCAGTTATGGTAAATCCGCCCCTATTTTTAAACGCAATTAACTGACTCGGATAAACTAGACATGGGCTACCGGTACGTTCATCGGCCTAGGCTGTGGCGTCAGCATATTTGCAGGACTAATGTCCTAGTGGGAGGGGCGCAAGGTCAAGAAGATTGAAGGACCCGAGGTAAAGGTTTTCCAGACAGAGGCATAAAAAAGTGTGGCAGGGAAGACGACTGAGCTCATGCATGTTGCACACCCAAGATCAAGGCTTTTCAAGCCTGAATTAGTAAATAGCTTTATTGACGTTGTGAAAGGAAGCTTTGATAATCGAATATCAGCAGGCTTCCTTTCTTCAGGAGATAGGAAGCCTGTATTATTCGCTTTTGGGCTAAAAAATAATTTGACTAATATTTACAAAGTCATCCTGGAGCCTTGTTCCTTCAGACCGCTCTGTCTATCCACGTTTACGTTTCTTAGCCCGGAATCTGAAGGTTGGGGGAGGCTTAAATACAAATACCTACCACATAAAGGCCACGGCATTGCGTCGATTCCCATTTCGAGTTAATCTCCGAAGTATGGACGGGCTGATGCCAGGCGGGCTGAGTGACACATCAAAAAGTCTGTGCCACTGCATGGGTATCCTTGTCGACGAAGACGAAGACGGCGCCGGGGCCGCCGGGGCTTATACCGGTTGTGAGTATTCGGGGATTTCACCCACGGGAGAACTAGCCCTCTGACAAGAAGATGGCCGCGCCCAAGCTATGGGGTGCCACAAACACTCCCGAGCTTCAAAGGGTAAGGGAGCGAGACTCGGAGGGTATCGATAGTGCCATATACTCACACTAGTGGGCAATGCCCCACCAATGACTGGGGACATAGAACGTGCATCCTACATTCACCTGCTCGGTCTACGATGTCGCGTCATGAATCCGTCCACGGCGCCCTATGTCTGAAATCACAGTAACACAAAATGGTCGTGACAAGCTTAGAGAGCAACACAGACTGCGACTCCAACCAATTCAATGCCTTTGCCTGTTGATGCGATAAGGGTCGCTCGTCACGTAAGTGAGGGTATCATCAAGATGTGTAAAGAAGGTTGATTGAGCTATCTTGTGGTTGAGGGCTCGGGACCGTAAGGGTCTGTCAGACGGAGGGATCCGGTCCAGCGGATGACTAAGGAAGCGGGGGTCTCGGAGACCGTAACTGAGGGAAATCCCTCGCCGGTCAAGATGATCAACAACACAGAAAATCCATCAGTCATAACGACGTTATTAACGTCGTAATTATCATCAATTCAATCAACCTATTTTGGCCTCATCTGATCGTACATTTCGCTGTGCCAAAGGCCCCCAACTCAGACCGTCAGACCCCACTTACGGGATCACGAGATCTGACACAAGGCATGATGCCTCAGGCCCGGCCCTGAGCATGAGGCTCAAGGCCGGTCTTTCCGCATCACCTGTGCAAGCTCGCATGAGCCCATTATTGATTGATTCCATCAATTTGTGAGTGCCAAGTTCACAATGGAAGAAGTTTCTCTTCGTCGTCACTTGCAGAAAAATCGACGTTGGTTGAGCAATCAGGACAGATATGGTGACTCGAAGTTGGTTTGGGCGGACAACCATCGAACCATCCACTTCAACATCACGCCATTCGCATGTCTCTTCTATTTATTGTCACCAGATGTCATCTGTCGGCGGCTGGTGCCGAACGTCAAACGATCAGGGCCTTGAAGTTTCAGCCGGGAGACACTATCCACTAAATACGCCATGAATCTGCATTGTAGAATCATAATTCCCCACACCTCGCTTGCTCGCGCTAAGTAGAGATCTGTGGTGGTTACAAGCATGTGGCGGTTATATGGCGGCCCATTCTAACTGCTGGGTACTGCAAAGTTTATGGCAGGCCATCTTGGGGAACTTGTCTGCGCTGTAATTGCCCTCGCCGGGGCGAGCGCCGATGGACGGATCATCTACACCATGGCCATCGCAGGCATCGCCATTGGTACTCCTTCTTTCTTTGCCCGCCCTTTGATACTCTTTTCTTGAGCTTCCCGTTTGACTTCGTATTGTTTGTAATGTGGCTTGTGGCATTTTGCCTGCTCAAGACCGTATGACCCTCCTTCCCCCTCATCATCATACTCCTTGGGGGAGACCACTAGCGGACCGTAACAACGAAATTCTTCCTAAACAGAAATACTCCTCGATTTCTCGTGACACAGCACACCTTCTGAGTGGCATTCTTATTGGTCCTCGCCCCGCGTCTACCCTTGAAACTCCAACGCTACTTGGCGCCGTGTTCACTCTCATCAAACTTTTCTCTCCCATTTCCATCCCCAAGGATCCCCGAGAGCGGAAAAAGGTCCGGAAGATTTTTCTCTCAGACCCTTATCGTGAAGACGAAAGTGACAACTGTGACCCGTCGCCAGCATAAGCTTTTCGGTGCTGACCGGCTGCATGCGGGGAGTCGCCGCCATCATGTCATTTAATGTTTGACGGCCCTCCCTTTGACTTTGAGCAGCTTCTCATGTCGTCGCTCGGCAGCGAATTAGAGACAATGCCAGGCATGCCGAGTACCGAGACGTCCAAAGAGGCGCTTTGCGAATGGCTGACATGTGTGCACGGTGACCATTTGTTCCACGCATTGGCCTTTTTTTTAATTTGACGCCTAAGCCATGATTTCGGTATAGGTGCTGGAGGAGATGCAGAGACACGGATATCCCCAGTGGAAGCTCGCCGAAAACCGAATATGCATGGCTTTGTTTACCTGCGTGAAAGTTTGTACTAGGCTTGTTACGTCCGAATTGAGGAGAGCCCGTTGTTACTGATATTTGTCATGTGTCCCCCGATTCGATGGCAATCCAATCCTCATAAGCATACTTTTTTCAGGATTGCTTCTTGATGCAATAGCATTTTAGATCGTCAATTGCCTCCAATTCGCTTCAAGATGGCTTCATATCGAGCGGACGACGATGAGATCAGCATAGCGACCTCACAAGTCAATGTTAGGCACTCTGAAGAGATTCTGAACGACCCCGACGATGCATCATCTCATAATGCTGAAGGGTGCTCCAATTACGAGCATGGAGGAAGCAATTCCCGAAGCCCCGGTTCTGAGACACCCATCTCAAAGGCACGCCCAGGATTTCACCGGACAGAAACTAGGCCCGTGATTGAGGACAACGACAGAAATGAGATTTTTCGAATTGCGACGGCGCTTTCCCGTCGCCATTCCGTCACCACCGCCGGTGAAGGCCCGTCTCGCGTCCACACGCTCATTACTTACGATGAAGACTCCCCGGCTTTGGACCCGCAAAGCGATGGATTCAGCTTGGAGAAATGGCTCCAGAATTTCGTCAAGACCCTTCGCGAGCAGAACATCACGGCTAAGCAGACTGGCGTGGCGTTCAAGGATCTCAATGTCACGGGCACGGGGGCTGCTGTCCAGGTCCAAGAGACGGTTGCATCGGTGCTGCTCGCTCCTCTACGACTCGGCGAATTTTTCAGCTTCGGAAAGAAGGAGCACAAGCATATTTTGAGAAACTTTGATGGTCTCCTTCGAAGTGGTCAGCTCTTGATTGTCCTGGGTAGACCTGGGTCGGGTTGCAGCACCCTTCTAAAGTCGCTTTGCGGTGAGCTCCACGGATTGAGGGTGGACGCGAAATCTGCCATTCACTATGATGGAATTCCCCAGAAGCTCATGAAGAAGGAGTTCAAGGGCGAGGCCATTTTCAATCAGGAGGTAATAAAATTGGCCTTTGTTTTTGAGCTATGCTAACTTACTCGCGCAGGTTGACCGACACTTCCCCCACCTCACAGTAGGTCAGACCCTGGAGTTTGCGGCCTCGGTTCGAACGCCGTCTCGCCGAATCAATAACATGAGCCGAAAGGACTTTGTTCAGTATGTCGCCAAGGTTGTCATGGCTGCGTTCGGTCTCAGTCATACCTATAACACCAAGGTGGGAAATGACTTCATTCGTGGCATCTCTGGCGGAGAGAGAAAGCGAGTGTCTCTCGCTGAGATGATCCTCTCCGGTTCGCCTTTCTCTTCTTGGGATAATAGCACTCGTGGTCTCGACTCCGCTACTGCCCTCAAGTTCGTCTCTGCATTGAGAATGGCTGCCGACATGGCTGGGCATGCCAGTCCTGTGGCAATCTACCAAGCCAGTCAAGCCATTTATGATCTCTTCGACAAGACCATCGTGCTTTACGAGGGCCGGCAAATCTACTTTGGCCCAGCAGAGCAAGCCAGGGGCTTTTTCGAGAGACAAGGCTGGTATTGTCCCTCTCGTCAAACCACTGGCGACTTTCTCACATCGGTCACCAACCCGACAGAGAGAAAGGCACAACCTGGAATGGAAAACAAGGTCCCGCGAACTCCAGATGACTTTGAGAAATATTGGCGTGAGTCGCCCGAGTACCGCGCGTTGAAGCAGGATATCGAGGCGTACGAGGTTGAGTACATGGTCGAACGCCAGGGAGAGAGTATCGCCCAACTTCGAGAGGTCAAAAACAGGCAGCAGTCCAAACACGCTCGACCAAAATCCCCATACACTCTCAGCGTCCTGATGCAGGTCCAGCTCTGCACCAAGCGGGCCTATCAACGCATCTGGAATGACCTCTCGGCAACTGGAACACAATGTTTCGTGCAGCTCGTCATGGCTCTCATTATTGGATCTATCTTCTACGGAACGCCTGATGCAACTGCTGGATTCTATGCTAAAGGCTCTGTTTTATTCCTGGCTGTTCTTCTTAATGCATTAACAGCCATTTCGGAAATCAGCAGTCTTTACAGTCAGCGACCGATCGTGGAAAAACATGCTTCATTTGCTTTTTACCATCCTGCTTGTGAGGCTGCTGCTGGCATTGTGGCTGACGTACCGATCAAATTTACTACCGCGTCTGTCTTCAACATTGTGCTCTACTTCATGGCTGGATTGCGACGAGAGCCAGCCAATTTCTTCCTATACTTCCTGATTACCTATATGTCTATGTTTATCATGAGCGCCGTCTTCCGCACGATGGCAGCTATCACGAAGACGGTCTCTCAGGCTATGACCTTGTCGGGGGTCATAGTTCTTGCCCTCGTTGTCTATCTCGGATTCACCATTTCTCCTCCGGAAATGAAGGTTTGGTTCTCCTGGATTCGGTGGATCAACCCAATATATTATGCTTTCGAGATTCTTGTCGCCAATGAATTCCACGGTCGTCAATTTATCTGCTCTAGTATCATCCCGCCTTATACACCTCTTATCGGAAACTCGTGGATTTGCGCTGCTACTGGCGCTGTTGCTGGTCAGGATTATGTAAGCGGAGATGCCTTCATTGCTGAACAATATGAGTACTACTACTCCAATGTCTGGAGGAACTTTGGTATTCTTTGGGCTTTTCTTATCGGTTTCATGGCTATCTACTTTGTCGCTATCGAGGTCAATTCCTCAACAAGCAGCACTGCCGAGGCTCTTGTCTTCCGAAGGGGTGGTGTGCCGGCTCATTTGCGCACCGGTCAAAAGCAATCTCTAAGGGATGAAGAGACGCCAGTGGATTCAACTAGCAGGGGGAGCGCCACTGGTGAAGGCGTCAATGCAATCGAGCCTCAGAAGGATATCTTTACCTGGCGCAATGTTATATATGACATTGAGATCAAGAAAGAGCAAAGACAGCTTCTGGATCACGTCTCTGGTTGGGTCAAGCCAGGTACGTTAACTGCGCTGATGGGCGTCAGTGGTGCTGGAAAGACAACATTGTTGGATGTGCTCGCGCAACGCGTGAGCATGGGTGTCGTCACTGGTGATATGCTTGTGAATGGCAAGCCTTTTGATGCTAGCTTTCAGCGCAAGACGGGCTACGTGCAACAGCAAGGTAAGTAAGATGAGCTGGGGTTATGCCATTTTCTGACATCTTTTCAGACTTGCACCTCGAAACTGCCACTGTCCGCGAGAGTCTACAATTTAGCGCAATGCTAAGGCAACCGAAGTCCGTCAGCAAGAAAGAAAAGTACAAGTTCGTCGAAGAGGTCATCAAAATGCTCAACATGGAGGAGTACGCAAACGCCGTCGTCGGTGTTCCAGGCGAGGGTCTCAATGTCGAGCAGCGAAAACTCCTGACCATTGGAGTTGAACTGGCCGCAAAGCCAAAGCTGCTTCTTTTCCTCGATGAACCCACCAGTGGTCTTGATTCACAGAGTTCTTGGGCCATCTGCTCGTTCCTACGAAAGCTGGCCAACTCTGGACAGGCTGTGCTGTGTACCGTCCATCAGCCAAGTGCGATTCTCTTTCAGGAATTCGATCGTCTACTCTTCCTGGCCAAAGGTGGCAAGACTGTATACTTTGGAAATATCGGAGACAACTCGCACACCATGCTAGACTATTTCGAGTCGAAGGGAGCCCGAAAGTGCGGCGAGGAAGAAAACCCGGCCGAGTATCTTCTGGAAATTGGCAACAGCGGATCCAACGGCGAGGGCAAAGATTGGCACACCGTCTGGAAGGAAAGTGAAGAACATGCGGCCCTCGAAACCGAGATTGATAGAATCCATGCCGAGAAACAGACTGAAAAGGTGGCAGGAGAAGACGACCCCACCTCCCAGGCCGAGTTCGCGATGCCGTTTAGGTATCAAGTTCAAGAAGTTACTTATCGAGTTTTCCAGCAGTATTGGAGGATGCCCAGTTACATCTTTGCCAAATTCATTCTAGGTATCGCGGCTGGTTTATTCATTGGATTCTCGTTCTTTAACGCCAATAACACACAGGCCGGAGTGCAGGAGGTCATCTTCGCTGTGTTCCTTCTAACGACAATCTTCTCAACTCTTGTACAGCAGGTAAGTGTTAACAAACTGGTGGTGCTCAAGAGATGTCCTGATATGATTTATAGATTCAACCGCTCTTCATCACGCAACGATCGCTATACGAAGTCCGAGAACGCCCAAGCAAGGCCTACTCGTGGAAAGCATTCATCATTGCTAATATCATCGTGGAAATTCCATATCAGATCATTACTGCGGTTCTCATTTACGCCTGCTTCTACTACCCAGTTATGGGCATCCAAAGCTCTGCCCAGCAGGGGCTGATCCTTCTCTTTGTCATCCAGCTCTTTATCTACGCCAGTTCCTTTGCGCATATGACTATTGCCGCTATGCCGGATGCGCAGACGGCAGCCAGTATCGTCATACTGCTTTCTCTGATGAGCTCTATTTTCAGTGGTGTACTCCAGTCTCCGACTGCTCTTCCAGGATTCTGGATTTTTATGTACCGCGTTTCGCCCTTCACGTACTGGATCGGTGGCATCGTATCGACGGCGCTTCATGGTCGACAGATCACCTGTTCGGAGAAAGAGACGTCAGAATTTAACCCACCCAGCGGTTCAACTTGCGGTGAATATCTCGAACCATTCCTCCAAGAAGTCCCCGGAACGCTGCAGAACCCTAACGCCAGGGAACAATGCCGGTATTGCTCAGTTAGCACCGCCGACCAATACCTTGCAGCTTCCCAGATCTACTGGAGTCAGCGATGGCGCAACTACGGGATCTTTTGGGCTTACATCTGGTTCAACATCATGATGGCGATTGTCTTGTACTACTTTTTCCGGGTGAAGAAGTTGGGCAGACGTTAATGTGGAGGGGTGTGGGTCTGAGTACTAAAAAATCTCCGAAAGCCGTATGTATTTACAGTGAGAAGGAAGTAATTGGATGTAGCGAATATAATGGTAGTTACTTTGCAGTTACACTCATCAAAATAAGTCTCTAA